TTGTCAATTTTCCCCTCATATTTCAACCACATCACTCTGTCACCTGAGATTTAATTAACCTTATGTTATGTGACCAGTCAATAGAAACCACAAGGAAAATTGATTAACCCAACGCTGTGCCACTCAAAGAACATTAATTCGGTGAATTCAGTGCCAATTTTCATAATCTGGTCACAGAAAGCTGGGAGAAGACACATACAATGGATGGCAAATTGGTCCGGTAGAAGGCTGATGGAAAGACCCAAAAATGCCAACAAAACTTCCATTCGTATTGTCACAATACTCTACCCGAACTCCTACATTTAAAGGGACACTAAACTTAGAGGTTTAATCTTAAAAATACATTCAAGTACCTTAACTAATAACAACAATGTATCTTATTTGTGTATAACTCGGCTGTAGATCCTCCAATCATCTCTGAATTGGTGCCGACACTGTCCTTCCTTCTGGAGGGGGCTACTTGTGTTCCCCATGGTCCCTGTGTGTGTTGTAAAGTAGTCACCGCTCCAAGCTCGCTCCCAGGATGGACTACATTCTCAGTACAAATGAGTAAACTAAACTTCAGACTGTAGTCCATCCCGGGAGCGAGCTTGGAGTGGTGACTTTACAACACTTTTCCTGCTGCAAGTGAGTTTGTTATGACGAAATAATGAGACTGTCTTCTGGAAATTCACAAGGGCTTGGGTGTCCTGGAGGTTTACATAAGAGGGTTTGGCTGGTATTAATAAGTGGCATGTCATATGTTAATCAGATTTTTTGCATAAATGATCAAAATTATATAAATAGATCCTTGAAATGTAAACTAAATCCTAAAAATGCATTCAAGGACCTTAACTATTTACAACAATGTATCTTATTTGTGTATCACTCGGCTGTAGATCCTCCAATCCTCTCTGAATTGGTGCTGACACCAATTCCTCCTGGAGGGGGGCTACTTTTGTTCCCCATTGTCCCGGTGTGTGTTGTAAAGTAGTCACCGCTCCAAGCTCACTCCCGGGATGGACTACAATCTCACGTTTAGTTTACTCATTTGCATTGAGATTGTCGTCCATCCCGGAAGTGAGCTTGGAGCGGTGACTACTATTACAACACACACCGGGACAATGGGGAACAAAAGTAGCCCCCCTCCAGGAGGAATTGGTGTCAGCACCAATTCAGAGAGGATTGGAGGATCTACAGCCGAGTGATACACAAATAAGATACATTGTTGTAAATAGTTAAGGTCCTTGAATGCATTTTTAGGATTTAGTTTACATTTCAAGGATCTATTTATATAATTTTGATCATTTATGCAAAAAATCTGATTAACATATGACATGCCACTTATTAATACCAGCCAAACCCTCTTATGTAAACCTCCAGGACACCCAAGCCCTTGTGAATTTCCAGAAGACAGTCTCATTATTTCAGCATAACAAGCTAACTTGCAGCAGGAAAACCCCGAGTCTCCCACAGTCTCTCTTATGTATAACAACATACTAAGCTAAATCTTTCACATGTATAAGCATACCTCTTTATTAACTCTCTACAAGGTTGGAGGAGCTCAGGGGAACAAGGCCATAACCACCAGGCCTGACTGAAGCCAAACTTTAGAATTCACTGACACTCTTTTACTCCTTTTTCACAGGCAAATGAGGGCAAGCGAGCTCTCTGACCCCACGGTCAGGGAAAGCGGCAAACTTTACAGAAGCTCCGGCAATGTATCCGAGTAGGAATGTGTTCTATACTGACAGCCCCACTGAAATCCTGCAAGTCCGTGCTCTGAACAATATGCATCTCATTAACTGTAACAAGAGTTAATGAGAATTAAGTTGACAACTATCTGCTGGTTCGAGACCCTGGGAGAGTACAAAGGGCCCCGCGCTTGCTTTGGTTCCCAATCTGCCGGCACGAAATGGCACTGGAAGTATGCCCATAGGGGAAGCTTATGCTCCAATAAACAAAACTCTCTTCTGGGGCCTTTTCACGGCCGCACGGGATGACACATAAAATAGACCCATTTTGTCTTCATTAACGAACAGATTCCTTCAGCAAGTGCCAACGGTGAGCTTGGAAATTGCAGGGCTTTAAAAGAGAGACAGACAAAAATAGCTGTGCTGACCCTTAAAGGAGAAGATTTGGAAAAAAATCGGCAGAATTGTGCAATATTTTCCACCCCCAGGCTTTGTTTTATGGCTACATGGCCTCAAAGCCAATGCTACAACTTCTACCTGGTCTCTTGTGAACTTTCCAGTACTTGCAACACCCACTTTTCTCCTTCCTTTAAAGTGTATTTCCACTTTTGCAGTAATATTTGAGAAAACACCCACAATATTTTTGTTTTGTGTACCCATTCCGGCAGCATGCCTAAAATAATTAAAAAAAAAATATTATTATCTTTTTCAATGTTTCTTTGGATGAGGCCTTTGCAACAGTTTTTGAGCGAGTGTGTCCCCGAGACAAAGGGGGGACAGACTCAGTTTCCTCTCATTAAAGGAGAACTATGAGGTGAGTGAAAATCACTCATCCTCATAGTACGAGCCGATGTGCGACAATGAAACTGTCACACGTCGGCTCAATAAATTGGGAAGTGAGCGAACACATACTGTCGCTCGCTCACTTCTCGATCATCTCCCTGCAGAGACCGTCACTCACGGCTCCCTGCAGGGATTCCCCCCTCCCCGCTCCTCCAGCGCTGAATGATGGGGGAGGGGGCCGGTACAGCTGGCTCTGCCTCTAGATAGGCAGAGTCAGCTGTCAATCTCGCAGCTGGGTGGATCTCGACAGCAATGTAGCTCGCGATATACTGAGCTTTGGGTCACGGTAGGACGCTAGTTTGTGTCCTCCAGTGACCCTGGGGGGAACTATGGGGAAAAGCACTGACCTCATAGTTCTCCTTTAACCTACAATTCAAGAAGTCAAGTTTTTCAATCGTTAACCTGTTGTTAAGACAACAGTGATGAAATCTAGTTTACAACTGATAGCGAGATCTTCCAGCATGGTACAGTCAGGGTAGACAATAACTCTTCAGGCCCCTAAAGCCCCCTCCTTACAGAGAACGGAAAAGCTTCCGTTTTGGAGTTTTGACAAAAAAGAGCAAGTAGAATGTGGAAATACACTTTAAGCCCTACAAAGTACATTACATGGCCAAAAGTCCACTAAATGATTGAGTTCAGATGTTTTCAGATGTTTCCATTGAAGGGTACTGTTAATACTACAGCATACAGAGAATTGTGCTCTTCCAACCTTGTGGTAACAGTTTGGTGAAGGCCTTTTTCTGTTCCAGCATGACTGTCCCCTGTGTACAAAGCCAGCTACATAAAGCTGGTGAGTTTGGTGTGGAGGAACTTGGGTGACCTGCACAGAGCCCTGACCTCAACCCTACTGAACAGCTTTGGAATGAACTGAAATGCTGACTGTGACCCAGCTCCATAAAGACATGGTTTGATGGGTTTGGTGTGGAGGAAGTCAAGTGTGCCGCTCACAGCCCTGACCTCAATCCAACTGAGCAGCTTTGGAATTAATTGAAATGCTGACTCTAAGCCAGTTTGATGAATTTGTAGTGGAAGAACTTGAGTGTCCTGCGCAAAGCCCTGACTTCAACCCTACTGAACACCTTTGGGATGAACTGGAACATTGTTTGTGAGCCAACATCAGTACGCGACCTAATAAATAACCTCTTGCCTAGATTGGCACAAATTCCCACAGACTCAGTCTAAAATCTAATAGAAAGCCATCCCAGAAGTCACAAATATGGGCAACTTCATATTACTGCTCATGGTTTTGGAATGTGATGTCCAACAAGCTCAGATAGGTGTGATGATCAGGTGTCCACAGACTTTCAGCCATATGGTGTATCTTCTGCTCCCAGCCAACAGCTTACAAAGAAGACCCTCCAACTGCAAGTCTGATTTTGACTTTGAGATCCTGGGCGGCAACTCAGTGCAAACAGTAATATTCAAGGCATTTCATACAGCTGCCTACAGTGTTTTTTAAAATGCATCTTGTCTTTACACAGCAACTTCTTGCTGTCATTTTGACGGCCGGAACTTGCCAGCAAGCAAGTGGGAGAGGAGCAGAAGGACAGGCCGTACTCAGGGCCGGATTTACTCTGTCTGCTGCCCCGAAGCCAGGTTCCTCAATGTGCCTCCCCTCCCCCGCCAACCCCCCCTCTCCATGGAGAATGACAGACCTGCAGGCTGCATACAAGTGATCTCGTCGACATTGTTGGGATCACTTGTACAAAACAAGAGGCGGCTTCCCCGCTGTACATTCAGCCCTGCTTGCCCAAAGCAGGGCTAGATGTAGAAAACAACTACCCGCCCAGCACCCTGCCCTGCATGTCCCGTGCATCATGAGATAGGAATTCCACACCCCTGCTGCCCCTCTACTCCCTGCTGCCCCCGGGCCGGGCCTTGATTGGCCTTGTGGGAAATCCAGCCCTGGCCGTACTACACACGCCCTGTGCACTTCTGTAAAGTTAAAGCGTATCATGTGTAGCACGACTGGTTAAAAGAGAACTATGGGGTAAGTGTTTTTTCCCATAGTTCTCCTCAGGGTCACGGGAGGACACAAACTATTGTCCTCCCGTGACCCAAAGCTCAGTATACCGCAAGCTACTGCACCGCGGCATACTGAGACCGCCGCAGCCGGGACGGATCCCGACATTACTGTCGAGATCCACCCAGCTGCGTGATTGACAGCTGGCTCTGCCTATCTAGAGGCAGAGCACGCTGTACCCGCCTCTCCCCCGTCCATTCCGCCAGTCAGCGCTGGAGGATCGGACAGGAGAGTGGGGGTGAATCCCTGCAGGGAGCCGTGAGTGACAGTGCCGCTCTCTGCAGGGAGATGATCGAGAAGTGAGCGAGCGCCGGTATGTGTTCGCTCGCTTCTCGATCTATTGACCCGACCTGTGACAGTTTCATTGTCACACGTCGGCTCGAACTATGAGGATGAGTGATTTTCACGCGCCTCATAGTTCTCCTTTAAACAAATGCAAATCCACCAAAACGGACACCTACGTATATTGACTGTTTTCGTTCCTCCCGACGTCCGGAGAGTGCAGCTTCTGGACCAGAATCCTGATGATGCAGATGAAAAGGATGAAATTGACCTAAAAGAAAAAGAAAAAAAACACAAAGACGTTGTTCTGAAACAAGATGACGTTTGAGGTTTTCGAGACAAAAAAGTATCTGAATAAAAACAAAACGGAGGGAAAACAAAGATGAGATCGAAGCAATTTTCATCGCTGCCCCGCCTTGTAGATGCGCTCAGGCAGCGGCGGAATTAAGTCATGTATAGCGAGACAGGATAGCAGCCATCTTGGGCCTGACATCAGCCTGCTTGGGACTTTTCTGCCATATATCGCAAGTATGATGATGTCAAGCCCAAAGGATACAGCTATGCGAGGCGGAGCGGAGCCGGACCGGGAACAGATGACATGGCGGCTAAAAAATCGTTAAACACGAGTCCCACGCAAAAAATCACACAATACACACGTAGGAAATGACAGAACAGCAACAGTAAAATACACTTCCTGAAATAAAAGCATTTTATACAAATAATATCTGGAAATAGAAACTTGTGAATGTTCAGTGGCGGAGCGTACCTGGTTATTGGATTATTTTCGTGAACGTGATACTAAAGTTATTATTGGTATTATTATTATTTTTAATTATTATTATTATTTTCTCATTTACTATTCAACAGAAAAATGTTTAAACATTCTATTCATCTGGGATTAGATATTTTAATACACAGATTCATTTTATCCTTGGAGCTGACTGTGTAATTATACAATCAAAATGGTCGGAAACAGAAAGAGCGGCGCTGTTATGTGGTCGTCACAATCACTTTAGAGATGCCCCCTACAACTTTATACCACTTCCCCCAAATTTGCTAATGAGAAGTAGCAACACACAGAATAATTTAGCTCCACGTGCCGAGCGCCCGGGTAACTCTAATGGGATTCATGTGGTTCCAGAAGCGATTCGACTTTCAGACCTAATCCCGAAAATGACCTTTTTGCTGCGTTTTCTGCATCAACCCCCTAAAGCTTCCTTTGATTATTCCCTCGGAAGTTACATAATAACACATTAAAGTATATCCAAACCCAAGAACACACAAATGTATATATTGTAACTAGAGGTGCACTGGTATTAAATATTTTTATTTTTTACTTTACTTTTAGGGGCTTCGGGGAAATATTGGGGGGTCTAAACAGACCCCTGATATTTCCCTTTTAAAATAGAAAAAGAGATTGAGAACACAAAGTCCTCAATCTCAATGAACAGAATTCCTCTATACTGAGTGTTCCTGATCATTCATAACATGAGGACAGAGTGTGTTTACTATAACCACAATCATGAATAAACAGGAAGTGATGTAGATGTGATGTAGGTCACTTCCTATTCATTCATAATTGAGGATATAGTAACCATACTCTGCCCTCAATTATCTACAAACACTCATCGATCACTGACTGCTTGAGGAAGGAACGTGCCGCTGCAAAGATCAATGACAGGTTGCTGGTGATCTAACAGCGACACGTTCCTCCTCACACCTGCTAGTGACAGCCAGCAGACTGTGATGCCATAGCGACCCAGGCATCAGGGGGATGTCCTGGCCGGGCCCCCCTGTGCCCTGGGCCCCATAGAGGCCGCCCTGGGTCGCTATGGCGATTGTTACGCCACTGGTTGTCACCCTAGAATAGGAACTTGTCTTGATTTGAATTGTAACTGTAATGACTTCCTTATATTATAAAGTGCTGTGCAAACTGTAGGCACTAAATAAATCCTGAATAATAATAATAATAATAGGAATAATAATAATAAATAATAACAATAATATTAATAATAATAATAGGAATAATAATAATAATTAAGAATAATATATTATACAAATCACCAGCTGAAAATAAATGGAAAAAAGCTGTAAAAAATACAAATAATGCTGCCAGATTACCTGGTAAGGACTGGTAAGCAGCAATCTATAAACTTTTTGTTTTTGGGTTTAGATACACTTTAAGCAACCACCATCTTTAAGTAATATTTGATGCCTACAATCGTGCTGTGTCATGTCTAGCTGCGGTCTGCCATTGAAGGATCACTCTACTACTATTGGAATGGACAATTCCTTTATTTCTTGGGGGTTTTTTTTGTGTGACAAGCATTGAATAGAGTGATTGTAAAATACTTTACCAATATGGAGACCAAAATTGGAGTCTTGATGATCCACCAGAGGTGGGACTCGATCATGTCCCAGCACCTGCGTAGAGATAGCACGGCAATAAAAAAATCACAAATGTTTTTGTCACACGTGAAAACAGAAATCGGAGTTTTAAACCAACAGAACGAAGAACCAGCGCAACAGAAGCATGCAAGAAAAAAAAAAGACAAGCTACACGCTAACAAAATGACCCCCTACAAGAGCAAATACTGCACCGCTCCGTCCAAATATTGGGTCAGAGAAATGGTCAAATCTAGTTCACTTTATTGATAACATTGACATTTGTCATAAAGGGACCTCACTATTGAAGCATCCAAAAGATAAAAGAAGCCGGGGGCTGACTAAGCCCACCAGGCTCCACCGACAAACATCACATACAGGTAAGAGGTGTGCAGCCCATCTGAGACCCTGCAGAGCCCGCTATAGAGAGTCTATGGTGGGATCTGCAGGGTCACTCTCAGGTGGGCTCTGCAAGTGGCATAACTAGCAATCACGGGGCCCCATACAAAATTTTGCTATGGGGCCCTGTGATTTCTAGTTATGCCCCTGCTAGGGGTGTTCAGATACCAAGTACCGTACTCGGTACAAGTACAAGTACGGATACTTTCCCAGTTCCAAGACTAGACTAGAGAAAAATTCAAAAGTTCGGAGGCAGCTGTCATTTTTAAGGAGCATACGGAGCTCCCGGGATTTGTACATCTCTGTTCCAATGTATGATTTTTTAAAAATAAATATATATAAGAGATGCACCCAGGGCTGGATTTCCCACAAGGCTAACCAAGGCCCGGCCTCGGGGCAGCAAGGAGTAGAGGGGCAGCAGAGGTGTGGAATTCCTATCTCATGATGCCCGGGACATGCAGTTCCGGGCGCCGGGCGGGTAGTTGTTTTCTACATTTAGCCCGGCTTTGGGCAAGCAGAGCTAAATGTACAGCGGGGAAGCCGCCGCTTGTTTTGTACAAGTGATCCCGACGATGTCGCCGAGATCACTTGTATGCAGCCTGCCATTCTCCATGTGGGGGTTTGGTGGGTAGGGGGGCGCATTGAGGAAACTGGCCTTGGGGCAGAAGAGAGAGAAAATACTGATACTTGTCCGAGTCCTCACAGATACGAGTACTGATAAATTTTTGTTTAGTGTCATGTGACAGTTTTTCTAAAACAATACAGACTAATAATTCCAGGACGGTGGTGGAGCGCCAGAGCCCGGTCCCCGCTGCAACCGCTGCAACTCTGGTAGTTCTTGTGAAAATGCCAAGTATCAGCACTGGTATCTGAACATCCCCACAACATACCATTTAAACTATCCACTACACCCTTCCTGGTCTTGCAGCAGTCATGTCCTTGACATCATGCATTATAAATGAATCGGTCATGATATACAAAGTAAATGAATTATCTGCAGACGCTGCAGTTCTGTATCATATGCATTTGCCTTTCCGACAAATCAATGTCCATAATAATTAAACACTTTGTGACAACATGGCTGACGTACGGCTCTTCTAGGAGGTTGCATGAGAGCATTTTCTAGTTTACAGGCTGCTACATCTTTACAGACATTAATCAAATTTAGTGTAAGATAAAAAGAAATAAATAAAACATACTTGTATAAAACTGAAAACAATTAAACGTATATCGTCAGCCTTCAGTGCAATAAAAAAAGTTGATGTAAACAAAATGAAGGCGAGTGAAATGCTTTCTTACCCTGAATTGTCAAAGTAAATTCTCGATAGGGCCCACGCTGAGATGAATACAGAGGGCGCACCTACAGATAAAATACATTTTGCTAGTCAGAGTGATCTTCATTTGAAAAATACATGATCTGTATTGATCTGTAAACCTCTTCCATTGCTCATTACAAAGAACTCAGGAGTACCACCACTATATGGCCAAACGTTTGTGGACATCTGATCATCACATCTACCTATATGGCCAACAGCATGTGGACATAAAATATTGACCTCGGGTGTTTCCAGTGAAGACTACTGTTAATGCAATACAACATGCAAAGAGATCTGAGACAACTCTGCACTTCTAACCTCGTGGTAACAGTTTGGTGAAGGACCTTTTCTGTTCCATAATGACTGTGCCCCTTTGCACAAAGCCAGCTACATAAAAGTTGATGAGTTTGGTATGGAGGAACTTGGGTGACTTGCACAGAGCCCTGACCTCAACTCTACTGAACAGATTTGGAATGAATTGAAATTCTGAATGTGAGCCAGGTCTTCTCATCCATCAAACACAAACAAATGTGGTCAGGTGTCCACAAACTTTTGGTCTTATAGTTTACTGTCCAACACTGGAGACCTCTTGTCACGATCTGAATCAGGCTCCGAGTCCAGTAGCAGAAACAGCAGGCAAAGTCGTAGTATAACAGGCGGGGTTCGGTACACAAGCAGACGTGTAGGAGTGTAGTGTAGGAGCAGGCGGAAGCGTAGTCAGAGATCGAGCCGAGGTCAGTAGCCGAAGGTATCAGGTATGAAGTGGAAGACGATGAGAGTAGTCAGTGAATCAGCAGCCAAAGGTCAGTACACGGGGTAGCAGTATGAACGGATTGTATCACAGGAGGGGCAGGAAGCAAGATATTGGCAGGAGCACAATAACCTGGCAAGCAGGAAGTGCAGAGGCGTGGCTTAAATAGGACATTCAAGGGAGGAGCAAGGCGTTCAGAGTTCAGCAGAAACTAGGTTTTACTGAGGATTACACAGGCGATCAGGCAAGGAGCTATCCAAGTTTCTAAGGTGGCTCAGCAAGTAGAACCACCGCCAGCTACAGCAGAGGCCTCTTGAACCTCTGGGAGGGTGACAGTTTTATTTGCCCAGTGCATCTATATTAGTAGGGTTCAAGCTTCAATGGACTTTCTGCTTGTTCAAGTTTTACCACTGATACAGTGAACCTGGGCAGCATTTTTTAACTACCTTCCAAGGTTAAGCATGACAAGGTACCTACCATTACATTTGGTGGCCAGGAACCACTTCTCTGCATGCCTCTTTGATCCTGGCTTTATTTTGTTACTAAGGGCTTAATTTGCCCATTTTGAGGACAAACATTCAACCCCAGGATACAAGAACCCACCCGCCTGGCGCTTCCCCGTCCAATAACAGCTGCCCAAGGCCAATAAGTGAACTCTCTTTGGACATGGGATGACATGCAAGTAATGCTTAGTTCCATGTTAATGGGAAGGAGGACAATGGTGGACTGAGAAGTGTCCAGATGTTGACCCCTTTTTTAAGGGAAAGTTAAATTTATTGTATAAGGGTTTTCATGGGTCCGATTGATCAATCCTTCAAGAGAGGTCAGGTGGTAGAACTATATAGATTGACAATGTGTTAGCTTAAAGCATTAGCAAAGGAGCCAATTCTCATCTTTCCCGATCTACCACCGATCTTTCTTCTCTTAAATGGCTATGGCAACTGAAGAATCTTCAGCATCTAATACACGTGTTTCGGGTGCCTGGCCCCCTGTTGTGTGCTGTGGTTATATCCATATCCCTATTCTATCTTTAAAGGAGAACTATGGGGTCAAGGCTTTTCCCCATAGTTCTCCTTAGGGTAACGGGAGGACACAAACTAGCATCCTCCCGTTACCCTAAGCTCAGTATACCACGAGCTGCAGCTCGCGGTATACTGTGACGCTGAAGCGGATCCCGACAATTGTGCCGGGATCCGCCCAGCTGCGTGAGTGACAGCTGGCTCTGCCTATCTAGAGGCAGAGCCAGCTGTACCCGCCCCCTCCCCCGTCCGTTCCGCCAGTCCAGCCCCTCCCCTGTCACGGCAGAGAGCTGTGACAGGATCGAGAGGTGAGGGAACGCCGGTATGTGTTCGCTCACCTCCCGATCTACTGAGCCGACCTGTGACAGTCTCATTGTCACAGGTCGGCTAGAACTATGAGGTGAGTGGAAATCACTTATCTCATAGTTCTCCTTTAAGTATGTGGGATGCTGAAGATTTTTTCAGCCACCATAGCTCATCAAGGGTGTGAAGACCGGTGGCACAACAGCTAAATATTAACTTTACAGGGAGGTCGTTTTTAAATGTTTATATCTAGCAAAAAAGAGTTGTTTCAACAGTGTTGTAAAATCCCATGTGTTGTTGCATCAAGGCTCCCAAAAGCCAAAGTTTTTTAAATACAAGCTGCTGCAATCTGTATGTAGTAACCTATAAATATATTAGGGATGCACTTATTCCGATAGTATCGGTGCCGATACCAAGTATTTGGGCAAGTACTCTTACTCGCCCAAATGCTCCCAATACCTAATCCGATACCAGAACTTCCAGTATCAGGAAGCTGGGCAGCGAGTCATTACACGCTGACAGGCTTCTTGATTGGCCAGGAAGCTTGCTCCATGCTCCCACATTACTTGGTGATGAGGGAGCATGAAGATGGCTTCCCGGCTAATCAGGAAGCAGGGCAGCGTGTAATGAGTCGCCGCCCAGCTTCCTTGTTGGTCGGGAAGCTGGCCAATCAGGAATCCGGGGGGGCGAGTCATTAAACGCCCCCCCGGCTTCCTGATTAGCCAAAAAGCCGGCTTCATGCTCCCTTGTCACCTGGTGACGAAGGAGCATGGAGACAGCTTCCCTGCTAATCGGGAACCTGGGTGGCGAGTCATTACAAGCAGCCCGGCTAATCCTTAATGGGACTTCCGGTATCGCTATTGGCGAGTACCGCAAAAAATAAAATATCTATACTCATACTGATTTGTCATCATTGTGATGATTATGGCTTACAGCTCATGAAAACCTCTGGGAGGGTGGCAGTTTTATTTGCCCAAGAACCCCAAATCCACAACCTTAAAAAAAGTAGATTATTACATGCAATCAATAAAAGAAGGATTGTACATAGAACAATATCGGACCTCTGAAAAGTACAAGCATGCATATGTACTCAGTACTTGGTTTGGGCCCCTTTTGCAGCACTTACTGCAATTACTTTTGCACGATATTCTAATTATTCGAGTTTCACCTGTATATATATATATATAACCCTAATTTGGAGCCCAGCTCACTGGTTGTGGCTTTCAAATAACAAATGCTTTCATGTATTTTGTCGTTCTCTCCTGTGCATTTACGTGTTTTGTAGACTTTTGTAAAAGATTTACTTACCCCATCCGATAAGAATGTACCACCAGAAATACTTTTTCTCCGAGAAGAAGGAGATGACGAGCAGAGTGTGGAGATAAAGGCCTTCAACCAGGAGCCAGAAGAAGTTGGCCATGATGCAGTACTGGAAAAACACCACTGCAGCTTTACATCCGGCCTGGAATAAAACGTACATGATGGTAAAAGAAAGGCAGTGTGATATTAACAATCAACAGATGCAATACTCAAAACCAGATGTGTCCAACTCCAGCCCTGGAGGCCAGGATCCTCGCTTACAATTAGGATAATAATGTAGTAAAAGGGAATGTGCAATGATTTAATTTCATTACACACATACAGTATGTTTTATATTTACTACTGTACGCTTTGGCTGCTTTGGAAAATAATAGTGCAGATCCATTTATACAGTGCTGTGGTGCGTTGGTATTCCATTTAAACTAATGGGATTCCTTAACTTAATACATATTAACGTGCATTTGTAAATGCACCACATTGCAGCAGTTACAGAATATCTGAATGAGCCCTAAAAGTATATCTAAAACTAAAACTATTTTCTTTATTGTGGATAGAGTAGGGGAGGGTTTAAACCGCTGTCAGTTTTTTGGTGGAAGCCGTGCAAGTTGACAAACTATGATGTAAATCAGCTTCCATGAATCTGCGTTCACAGGGAATCTGGACAATCTGCTACAATCAAGGCCGGTGCTGCCACTAGGCAAACTAGGCAGCCTCCTAGGGCACA